ATTGTGAATTGGAATCAAGGCTTTTATATAAATTAGCCGGGGTCTTCCTCCCCTTGTTCTGTCTTGTCAAGAGCCTGAAAATGAATGTTTTCTCACCAAAAGTTAACCCAGCTTTTGCTTTTTTTTGACACATTTTATGTCGAACATAAGAACAGTATATGTATAAATGATTTAAAAACTGATGAGGAAAATGCTCTTGGTGTTGTTTTTACTGGGGTGCTGAATTTAAAGTGTGTACAACAAGTGTGATCCTAACTGTGTCACAGGTGTTTCCTTTTTACAGATGCGGCTTTAATTGCACTCAGCAGTAAATGTCTTCCTCTTGTAAATGGCTTTTCTTTTTTTAATTGCAGCTTTCAGCTTTTCAAGGGCGGATTCAGAGCAATCAGCAATTCTGGGACACATGACAGTTTAAAGTTCTAAGAAATATAATAAAATATAATAAAATTATAATAATGAAGGTGACTCCACAGCTCTTAAAAGTGATCAAACTTTTAAAGATATTTGACAACCACAGCGTGTTCTCCCCCACTCTATTTCCGGCTCTAAGTGTGGTATTAGCATGCAAAGTTTTGGAGCCTGAGCAGAGGATTAGTGAGTTAAGTACTGGGGTAATGTTCAAAAAATGCAGCCAAAGTGTGAGGTGTTTTTTTTTTTTTCTTGGATAATCCACAAAATGACACTTGAAGTTGATGGCAATGCCACATTTAGTTTTGAAAGACAAATTGCAAGAACATTATAACAACATTAGTAGGATTTTGTTAGAAATAATTTTACATTGATAAGTCACAATAATGACATTTCAGTTGGTAGACTGTAAATCTTAACATTTCATTACATCCTCAACATTTATTTCAGTGTTTCTTCAATGAAGTCAGTGTGCACTCATATTAGGACCATTATGGTAATCAGCCTGAATGTGCCAGCTGAATCAACACTCGTAAAAGAAAAAAAAATATCTTGAAACATCCCCACAAGATGCCAGGACTCCAACATGGCGACCCCCGTGTTAGCCAACAAGCTACGCCTGCAGATGGATCTTCAGTCTCATAGTTCATGGACCTTTCAGCCCACCCTGCTGACATATCTAACTTCCCCACAGCGTCCATGTTGTCGATGATTAGTCCTGGCCATGTTTGTTGCCAGCCACGATGACTGGGTACTATGGCTACCAGCAGAGACGGACATCTGGAGCTGGGTCACCAGGGCAACATGACAGTGCGGGTCAGGATTGCTGGGGTAATGGCCTTGAACGCAGACCTCAGAAGGAAGTGAAGAGGCTACTGTTCACTTTTAGCAGAACATTTTAAGAAAGTGGAGGGAACTCTTTTCTTTCCGGTCATGAAAATCTTCACTGGAGATGAGAAAAGCTAATGGCTAATCCAATGTAATCCTTTGGGTGTGTTTTAGAGCGAGACAAAAAAGAAAGAAGTGCAGATGAGAGAGAAGACAGAATTATAATGACAAATTTACAACAACTATACTGCAGAGATTCTGTGCATTTACTGCCCACAAATGGCCCATCGACCATTTGCACCTCACCACATAAACTCCAGGCGCCACATTAAGATATCTGAACTTGCTTCTGGGAAGCTTTATCTGCTGCCCTCTTACAGGAACTCCTGATGCATTGAAACCAACATGAACACTCTGTGGGAGGCAAACATGAAGGACAGTCAGAGGTTCACTTCACAGCAGCCACAGAGGAGAGGCTGGCTGTTGATTCTATAAAAGCTGTTGAGCTGCTCAATGCAGCGTGTCCGATAGAAGCTCAGATGTTGCCAGGTTGAAATTCCCAGTAGTTGACACAGATGCTCTTCCTCGTGTAGTGCATTTAATTAGGATGAAATTAAAATATGTTTAGAAGACACAAACCACAGTAAACACTGACCAGTCAGTGCCAAATCAAAAGCACCATTAAACTTTCTCATATAGATTTGATTATTTCCCCTTAAAAACAATTATCAATGACTCAGTTTGACGCAATCGTGAAATCCATTAGCAAACATCTGATGAGACTCAGGCTCTGGGAGCAGCACCCGACTTCCCAGAGCCCCTGGTGCAGCCACTTAGCAGTAACACTAAGCAGCAGATTACAATCAAGTTTTTAACTTAGCATGGTCATAAACAAGAGAGGTGGGTAATAAAGGCCTCAGCAAAAGCTTCCTTTGCCATTTTTATGGTCCATCTAGCAACTTTAAAAGCAAGAGTAGAGCTGGAGTTGAGAAATTAGGTAGATAGTGAGCCTCTTAAGCGTGTGCCCCACATGCAAAGGGCTATAGTCCTTGTTGCGGCAGTCGCTGGGTCACCTCTCAGCTATGAACATTTGCAGCACAAGTAGAGGAGAGGAGAGGAGAGGAGAGGAGAGGGGAGAGGAGAGGATTAGACAGCTTAAGGTCTTAAGACTGGAGTCTGAGGAGGGTAGGGTCGTCCTGTTGCAGGAGTTGCACAGCGAGAGGGGAGAAGAGATGAAGAAGGAGAGGAAGGAGAAAAGGAGGAAGAGAGAGAGAGTAAGGTGGAGGGTGAGATTGTGAACAGGAATCTGTTATGGCATCCAGTAAGCCTACTGTCTTCACTCCAGCATCTTGGACTCAATACCAATACCCCAGACACACACACACGCACACACACACATGTAGACCCAATCCCATATTGTAGCGTTCTCAGAGGATTCAGTAAACCAATTGTCTGTATCGATTTTGATGGAGAACTGAGCGGCTGCTGAGAAAGACTCACTTTAGTACAGAGTGGACATAAGCTTCTACGCAGAGAGGCCTTCAAGTCTTCCTAAATGTGTTTGTGTGTGAGTAAGTGTGTGTCTGTGTCCTGATGTCAAAGAAAAGGCAGTTCAAGGAAAAACGAGCCCATCTGTGTTTTTTTCTGCCCTGTGTGTGTGTGTGTGTGCTGCTGCGTTCGAGTATATGTGTGCTTTCTCTCATGACAGTGACAATTGTATTAAAGTAGAAGTGGGAGTCTGCAGTGTCTCGGTGTTAAGTGAAGTCAGTGCCATTTAAACAGGCAGATGTGACATTTGATACAAGGAAGAAGATGTGGGGGGCGCCACAAGTAGGCAAACAGAAACACACTTGCAAGCTTGCTGCAACACATCCTGCAGACAGAGAGTATTTGCTCATGTACAAATGTGATATTTGCGCTGCAGGCGAGTAATAAATGGAAATGGTTATAAACTACAAGTGAAGTATTTCCTCCACAAAGTCAGCATTTGAATAACCCCCACACAATGCATATGTTTAATAACTGAAGCGTCTATTTGAGGAGGCTTTAACAAGAAGAAAGCCTGGCTTAAATGGTTGAAAAGAGCAGCTAATTCATCCATCACTCTCTGCACTCTGGATGTGTTTGGACATGTGAGGTTACGTCTTAATGGGCTGGTTAATAATGCAAATGCAGAGTGTTCATCGCTTCACTACAACATACACCCCGAGTTTGTGAGGTTAATTCAAACACTCGCATGCATAAAACAAATCGAAGACCATGTTCAGATGTCAAAACAAAAATTAAGAGTCAGACGCTCATTGTCACAACAGTTAACGCTTCGGATGATCAGGATTGTCTCAAAATACGTTGACGTTTGCTCAGGAAGTGGTGAAGAAGTCCGACTTAAAAATTGCGCACCCTCTTTTGGGGATTTTTTTTTTTCTAAACTGCTGGAGACAGACGATTAAATCTGCATGGGTGTACTAGCCCTCATACTTTTCTCCTCGGGGCACAGCTGAGTCACACTGCACAAACCCAGAGATTTCAACAAATTTGCTGCTTGGCAAAACACAGCAGCTCGCCTTCTCTCCAAGGGCTCGACTGCCTCTTTACCTCGTGTGCCCAAATTATAGTGCAGTAATGGATTCAAGTCTGCTTTAGCATTCCTTCTCTGGCCTGTACTCTTTGCATTACTCTAAACAAACACTGCTGAAAGACAAAGAGAGAGACACCATCATACTACTGTGTCTATACGTTGCATGGCTTAGATTAAGTCATATGCAAATGCTCGGTTTCGTAAAAGTGAAATCGCATGACGTCACTCCCCCCTCGCACACACCTGAATGCCATATGGTGGCGCGGTGAAGTCACTGGTTACAGTGAGTTACATCAGACAGGTGAGCCAACCCTGTGAGCCAGCTGGATGGAAAACAAACACTGACTTCATATTGTGAAGCTCTGCCAAACAATAAACTGAATTATACAATGAGTAATTTCAGCCCAGGAAGTGAATGGATCAAACGGGCCATTTAGGAAGCTTAGTCATGGCTTTAGATAATCTTAGTATGTAGGATATGGACCGAAACAAATACGGCTGAGTGAAGCATTGAACCTGGACGTATTTAATGAAAGAGCAACACATCTTAATATGACAACAACATAGACAGGGCTTAGAAACAGAATAGTACTTTCATTATTACAAACAAATACCTTAAATATTATGTTCAGTTACCTTTCGCTATCATATTATCACTCTTTTGGCCTAGCTGACTTTTGTTATGAACTTTTTGAGCATTGTTGGTACATTATTTGGCACTCTTACGCTGCCTCTAATCATATACTCTATATAGTCTCTATGACGCCACCCATTAGTTGTAGGAAAAGTTGTCTCAACCTTACAGCAAGAACAAGTCCACCTGTCAGCAGTGGTGAAAGTAGGATAAGGTTCTTGCAGGTACTGTACCTGTAGGCTTTGTACAAGAGGAGCACACCCAAGATTAACGAGGTACCGACTAATGGATCATTTGAACAAGAACAATAAAGAAAGTTGCACACTCTTATCTCCTCTGCTGTTTTATTTCCTCACTGTTTCAGATACTCTAACCCTGTAACAAACTTTGCAACTAAATACACAAAATCACATTTATAGTCATCTGCAGGCTTCTGTTGCACAACTTAGTCAAGTATGCCATAAATAAGAATATATCTATTTCAATTTATTGAGAAACAACTGTACTTAGGTACAAATGAAAAGATTCATGTTGTAACCTACTGTTGTTCTGCTACAGTAACATTATCAGCCATTTGTCAGTAGCTTACCCACTCCTGGTAGCTTTGCTGCTTTCCCCCTCTGCTCCTCAACTTGCTCTGATGCCACAGTTTCATCATCTGCTGCATCTCTCTTTCTCTTGAACATAAAATCAACTTTTCTCAGCATTCTGTTTTATTTCTGCATTAAGATTGGAGCAGCTGTCTCTTTAAAAATTCCCTCCTTCCGCAAAAGGCGGAAGTTAATCCCAGCGCCTAGGCAACAAGCGTCCAATCAAAAGTGCGCACTGAACGCTCCGGAGTTTGTTTGTATGCGGAAGCAAATCCGGCTCACTCACAAGCAGCATGATTACTATGGTTGGATTACTACGGTTACAATGCAGAGTGCAGACTGACGTGCGGCAACACGGTAAGCAAATGTAGCCTACAGACACTGCAGGGGTGAAAGTTTGTGTACCGCTGTGTACCGTCTGTAAACTGCTGTTTATGTCTCTCCGGTACAGCGTACTGCTGCGTACCGGTGTTGTGCCGTAGAATGCACCCCTGCCGTAAATGCACCCCCTGACAGGAGCGCAGTTTAAAGCACATAAGAAGGCGAAATAATCCAAGTTTTCCTCATTATTGGATGGATTCAAAAGCGTGTGCCTGTCATGATTTCATTTAGACTATTGAGATAAGCCCTCTGATTTGGAATATTCGCTGTATAATATACAAGTATAATGTTCTCTCGCTTGACAACTTGCTTTACAGTTTGAATACCCAAGTACACCTCTATGTGTGCATTTTTAAGACATAAAAACAGAACAAGAGTTTGCTGCTTCATTTGACATGTTGTCATGATCCAGTACTCGTGTTTTTCTTTTAATATGAGATCATTTTCTTCCATTTTAAGAGGCTAATAAGTGGATGGGATGCAAGGGATGCATTCCATGCCACAGCACCGGCTTACTTTCACCCCTGCCTCTCAGTCCAATCAGCCACACCCCTAATTTTGCTGAACAATGCACAACTGCTAGTCATGATATAACCAAAATGAAGAAGTTAACCAACTACAGCAAAGTGTCTATGAATGAAAAACAATCTATCGCACTTGATTGTAAATAGGTTAGATATTCTGTATCAAAAGTTTCAAGTAATCTAGCAAAACAAGTTCTTCAGAATTGATAAAGTTCTGTCTTTTATCTTTAAACCCAAAATCTCAGTTGACTGATTCTCTAACTTTAAACAATTTTTCTCCATTTCCATGGCTCAGTTTCACAGTGCTATCTATTCCTTTTTCTAAATAGCCCTATCCTGGCTAAAATCTTTCAGCATAGTTAAACCTCAACCTCTCCCATCCTCTCTTCTACATATTCTTACACACTATTGGAGATCTGTGAACCTTAATTTGTCAAGCTACAGGGTGGAGAGTCCAGAAAACCCGAGACAGAGTGCAAGTATCTCTGTCACATGACTGACCTGACCCCAGTGATGGCTGATATCCCACCAAATAAATTCTAAATATAGAGCCATTGTTAGGAATGATATATTATAAAAGAGCAGCAGTTGTATGATGATAAAATTAAAGTCAATATGCTAAGTGGAGGGAGCTGCCAGCAGCTGGTAGTCATTACCCATTTTAATCATTCAAAAAGAAGATTGGGTAAAAAGGACTTTATTTTGTCAGCCTGAAATAGTGCCACATTTACTCCTCATTTTGTGATAAAATAGCTCAGTAAGCATGGAATCTAGGGGGTGATAAAACTGTTGCACAAGAAACCCCAATAGACCAGGGATTCAAAACTGATCCACATGAAGTTTCTACTGCAGCACCACGAGCTGACCTGTCATCAGAGAGAGTTTGATTGTAGTTTATGGGAATGTCACCTTGATTTTAAAGTAGTTTATCAGTATTTACTAGTCAAAATAAAGAGATAAATAACACCTGTTGGTGCACCTGTAGTCTGTACTTAAGGCAACCCAGGAGATCACATGTCTCACTTTGGCAGCACCTGTTTAGACTGCAGGTTTTCAAACTGTGAGACTCACTTTCCCAGGGGGGGCTTTGGAGAAATTGATTGCTTACCTACCTGGTCAAAGGCTGGAGTAGAAGCAGCTGCTGTGGTGTACAGCTCACGGAGGCGGCACAGGTGCTTGAAAATTCTGACTGGTAACTAACTTATCCTTTTTGAAGTTGTCTCATAACCACCAAGTGTTTTTTAAAATCATAAACATATTTGCCTCACAGGGTTTCTAAAGTTTCTTAACAAGTAATACTGACAAAGTAGAGGTTATAATACACACTAAAAACATCAGCAGTTACCCCCCCAAAAAAAAGACTGAGCCATAATAAAAGGGAAGCAATTGTAGCCCACAAGAAAACAGCTCTTTTTAGATATTTCCTATACTGATGACTGATTGTTTGTTTTTGCAGGACACTTGACAGCTCCTTTTTTTACGCCATAAGCAGCCCTCTATTTTACACATTACAAGCAATTCAGATCTTATTTTCAGCTTGTTGAATCTTGAAAAATGATGAATATCTGGACTTGTTAAATGCCTTAATAAATATTTTAAACGTATTACTCTGGAGTCTCTGCAGTGTGTTGAAGTACTGTTTTCTGACAGGGTGAGGAGTGTTCTTGTCACACTCTGATGGGATAATATTGAACCACCCATTCACCACACATCATCCCTTATTAACTAAAATTTGACTTTTAAAAGCCAAGGGCTTTAAATACAATGAAATGTTTGATTAAAATTGAACAATGTTGTTCATGATCAGGGCTGTTTTGCTAACTGATTGACTCTTTGTAGTTGATTACTCTTTTCCGTATTTTGCCTCCTGAGTTGATGTAACAAGTTCATTTCCCACAGTGAAGGATCAATACAACCTAATCTTATGTAAAGGTTTGTGCAGCTCACATTAATAATCAAGACATATACCCCAAGCCTTAAAAAACTGATCAAAAGAAATAAAGTTACCAAGAAAATCTTAATCCCACCTTCTTTAAATTTATTGTTTTATTTTTCAAGACACTTTAAATTTATGACTCGGTACCAGCATTTAAAATGTATGAAGCATTTAAATAGCTGCTAACACATTCCAATAATCCATCACATCTGAACCAGCTGCCTTGAAACAAAAGCTCAAGAGTGATTTGACAAGTTGAGAGGACTCATTCATTTCCTTTGACTCCCTGCTTTGACCATGACAGTCAATGGATGCTCACCTTCACCCCCACGACAACCAATCATATGTTCTCACCTGAGTCACAAAGGGGGACCAATGGGCTTCTAAAGAGTCGGGTATTAATAAAGTCACAAGGGGGCCTCTGGGTAAATGAGTTCGCTGGTGATTAATGAGAGTGCTTCTTAATGGGACACGTCAGACTGTAGAAATCACCAATCACAGCGCAGGATTGTGGGTGCTCGGTCTCATCTCTTGCCACTGATAAGACTTGGCTGAATCACAAAGACAGAGAGGGGGGGAGAGATATGGAAAACAAAACTGATGCTTTTTGAGAGAAAATACGAGGAGGGAGGAGGAAGAGTGGGAGACGGGAACAATGAGGGCTCGAGCTGTGAGTGTGGCAGCGAATTATAGAGAGCAATGCAGGGAAAAAAACAATTCAAATGCACACAAGCTGATGAGAGACATCCTCTCAACTGCCTTATACTTTGTCTCATGGTGACACACACACACACACACACACACACTAAGAATATACACACAGCAACACTGACTGAGACAGACGACTCTGAATACCAACATATGTATTATTCTCCCTGCCTTTCCCTCTCTACTCTTATTCCGCTTGTGTGCATTTCACTGAAGTTGCAGTTTTCCATGTCAATGTAAATGTGAGATAAACTGGAGGGGAGATGGAAAAATATTACAAAACCAAACAAAATGTTTTATTGAAATAACTATTAAAAGTGCAGCTGTGCATGCATATTTGTGCTAGCAGGTTCCCATACATGCATATATGTGTGTGTTTCCCTTCAGCTTCTATATGTTTGTTGTGTCTGCATATGAAAGAGTTGTACATGAGAGTCTGTGTAGTCCCAGAGTAACTGACTGTAGAGTTTTATTCCATTTGAAGCTGTTTATGCTGCCTGGTTAAAGTTTGATGAGACCTCTGCTAGTAAATGAACACAGTTAGGAATTTGGAGAGAGACGCAATGCGGAAAATACATCAAATCTGTGTGTGAGTGTGTCAGTGCGTGTGCATGTGTGTGTGTGTGTGTGAGGAAAAAGAAAGACTGCCTGCCATGGTGTCAAAATACACTCCAGCCAAAACTGAACTCTTTGTTTGTTTGTGCAGAATGACTGCCCATGTGCTCTCTTTGTGTTACCAGCGTTAGGTGTGTGTGTGTAGGCATGGTGTGTTTTTGTGTGTTTGTGTGGGTCGTTTGCGGAAATGAGAGTGCGTAAGATTGGCATGTAATTATCAGAGTGTCAGCTCAGTGATACTCTGCCGGGTCATTCATCCTCTGACTGTCATCGAACTGCACCCTTCGAGCACTCCACTGCACTGTCCTGAGAGCTGGTATAAGAGTGGATCTATAAGTGTCAGTGTGTGTGTTTATGTATCAGTGTGTGTGTGATACATGCCTCCTTGCTAAAAATCCAAAGTAAGAGAGGAGCAGTGCAGAAATCCTTGAGAAAAAAAAAGCAAGGGGGTGAAGTCCAGCATTACTTCAAAGCTGCAGAAACTAGCCTTCACTGTAGTTAATCTTAGCTGGCATTAGGATTTAAATTTGGAAAAGCTTGTGAAGCTACATCACACTAAACAGGGAATGATTTCAAATCCTAAGGCAAAAATGCATAAGGACAGATGACTCACAGACAGCCTGTATTTTAATGAAATCCCATATCCCCTTACAAATAATTATGCAAATTCTCAAAGACAAAGAAGGATACTCTGTATTTGTCTTGTTTCCAATCAAAAATATGTCATTAGTCTAAATAAAAGTCACTTTCATGAGACAAGCTGAGATACACATCTTGTTTCAAGATATTGCAAGTGAAAAGTAAGATCTAAATTGCTAGAAATTAGTCAAAACACAAGTGAGAAAAATGGACTGTAATCTGGAATAGAAGGTGCACCGCAGGACAGGATCTGTTTATTGAGGGTCAGGCTGTGTTCCTGCAGGAAGATGTTACTGTGTTCAGCAATGTGCAGTTTTTGTGCAGATGTGTAGCTCCCTATGGTGCAATCTGTTACTGCCATCACACCAGCTACCTGTATGGTAATTAAGCACAGCCTAAAGCAGCTTAATTAGTTGTGAGGTTTGGATGGACACATGATTTACTGACTAAATAGTATAGCACCATTTTCTGTGAATGCCTGACTAAGATCAGATGTGCTTGACTGGTTTGTCTTGCTTTGTTTCCAGCATGTTTTTCACATATTCTTCTGCCCATCATGACATCTCAGACTTTGCTCTTGACTTTTAATATCTTGAAATAAGACATCCATCTGGACTTGGCAGGCTACTGAGGCATACGTTAAATCTAATCAAATATTTTTGACCAGAAATAAGACAAACTTTTAACACTTTTTTCTCTGTGCACTAACCCTACACTGAATAGATACATTTTAATGAGTACTTTATTTTTTATACATTTGAAAGTTTTCTTAACTTTCATCTATCAGTGGTGGAGTATGTCCTTGACTCCACTTATGTTTATCATTGTTCAGGAAAGAGAAGCTTTAAGGACTTTTAAGACCATCCCCATAAATTCTAAAACCAAAGTGGATGAAACTGGATGTAACCCAAAGTCCCAACATTTTAGACAAATGAAACCAAAATTGGCTGCCAGACTGAACGCCCTCTTATTAGTATTTTGATGCAGTGCCTCCACTTTTAAGAGCCTCCATTATTACTCCTCCATTCTTGAAAACAATCATTATTGCTGCTATAATCCGGTCAAAAGAACATGTGGTCAGATCCAGCGGTAATCAATGATAGTTATGTGGTTTCATTGTGAGCACTTGCCCTTCCAAAAAGTACATTTCGCTTTAGAAATACTTCGGGTGAATTTTCAGAAAACACAGTGCAATAATGCTGTTTTAAATCTGTGCTACTCACTTTATGCCATACTTGTAAATGAAGGCTTACTTTCAGCCTCTCTCTGTGCTGAGAAATCAATGCATAATCCTTACCACACAGCAAAACTATCCAGAGTATTTACTCTGCAGTTATAAAAAAGCAAATTCAGTGTTGCCAAATGTCCTGAAAACATCTGACCCTGCAGTTATGAAAACCAGAAAAACTGCTACCCAGTGTGTTTCTACATAAGGCAGCTGTCAGCAACCCAAACAACACCAATCATCAATATCTAGAATGCAATTTTGTCATAGAGCTGCATTAATAATTAAAAGATATCGGGAAGCATTAGATAGTATCAGCTCTTCTGTTGCTGACAGATGTGCAATAAGTAATCATGATGAGATTGACTGCTGAACCGTGCACTAAACTGAACAATTAGACAATTAGCAAAACAGCGGAAGAAAAAGAAAATAGGAAGTTTTGTAGAGATCAGTTATGAGTTGTTCATAAAGGATTGCAACCCTGTGATTCTTATTGACTCACGAAGAAATAATAAAAAAAAAAACTCATGTCGTCAAGCACCCCATGAAAAAGAAAACCATTACTGTTGTTCTGGTTGTAATGTTCCTTTTATGCGCCAGACAGGCATCCAGCTTGAGTGTGAGCATGCTTTGTGAACCATGAGAATGAGAGATTACTTAAAGCTAAATACAATCAGATCTTTATTGTTGACTCTGAAGCTTCCCTGAAGTCACATTGGAAAGACAGATGTGTTCATTGGTGTGTCAAACAAGTGTTATTAGTTCAGTGGGAGCCCCATCAGGCATCATGAAAAATAAATACCAAGCAATTAAGGAGGCCTGAAAAACAACGGATTGATGTCACAGCAACATATCTGCCGCTTCACAGCAACCAGCAAGGCTTGTGTTTGTCCAAAGAAAGAAAGTCTCGCTCTATGAACAATCAAGAATTATAAGAATTATACATTTTGTTACAGTAAAACTGCAGCAGAAAAAAGCAGCCATGTTGGCGTCACTGTTTTGCACAATTATGCAAAAAAAAAGAAGCAATCAGCTTTTTCTTTTTTCTTTTTTTCATAAATCATCATATTTCAAGGTGATTTATTAAGTGGTGGTGCAAATGTCTATTAGTCACACAAAGCAAAGCAAGATTGCACTCCTGCTCAATGAACAGTGAACCCAGCTAAGCAGAAGTGCAGCCCACGAAAGAGTCACTTATTTAATTTTATGGTTCTGCAGCCTGATTAGCCTTTGGCTGGGATCCTGTGCTTTATCTATTTTAACCATGGCTATTATGGCTTATGAAAGAAACATAGGGACCTGTTCACTGGCTGCTACAGGTGTACTTTGTCAGGTGTACTGAAAACTTTTTCCATATTTGTGTTGGTGAAACAGGGGTGAGGCTGGCAATTTAGTTTGATCCATTTCAACCAGGCACATATTTTCAAATGGCTTAGAAAAGTGTGACTGTAGGGACTGAACACCCATATCATATTACTGTTCACTGTTAGAGGTAGGAAAGGAAAACAGAGCCTCTATGCTCATTAGAAAACAAAATAGACAGCTATAATTCACCAGAACTTGTACCAATTATGACTGGCCCCTCCCCCAAAAGTCATAAGACAACATCGTCTGCATATCAGGGCAGTTTGTGTGGATGTAATTGTCAATCTTACATCAGACTCAAACAAAAGAGAGACTGCTGTTTCCTCCCTGTTTTTAACCATGAGTCAGCATGAGTCAGCATTGTGTTTGTTTAAACCCGACCACAATTGTGTCTGAACTCTACCCTATGGATTTTTTTACTGTAACCATAGCAACAAAATTTACAAGCCTTATGTAAGTACTTCTTTTAACCACATCGCAGACATAACTAAAACACATCCATGTTGTTTCTCTGCCTTAAACTTCCCAAACCTGGCAGAGGATTATTTTTATTTATTTACTTTTCTACAGTCGTGTGTAATAAGACATGACACATGACAGTACAGACAACTGAATTTGCCTTCAGGGATCAATAAAGTTCTTATTATTATTCTTAAACTGGGTGGGTTTAGGCGAACGTCCTATGCAGTTCTTTTCATCAAGTTGTCAGATCACACAACATGTCAAGCACTGAACGCCTTACAGACTTTAACAACATCAAGTCATTTCATGTTCATGTTTTGTTATCCCCTCTTCCATTTCTATGCCTTTTCCTTGTTCTTTGGGTGTAAAAATGAGGGGTGCAATAATGCAATAGATTAAGTTACCTTTGGTGACTATGGATTGCATTAATTATGGATTTAGTCTGTGTTGTCCCATGTTGGTTTTTGGAGAGGCCAAATGGAAGTTGCTAAATTTAATTTGCTAACGCAGCCGAACTTTAGATTGATCAAGAAACAGACAAGAGGGTGAGCTCAGGCGGGTTTGTAGCTTCCTGACATCCTGTTCACCTGTCTGTCCTCTCAGCTCTCCCCCTGATCACACAGATTTAATTATTACCTTTTATATTCATTGTTTTGTTTGATGTGTTAAGAATTCAACTCCTTTACAAAGTGTACAACCAAAGAATCAACCCCTTTTCCAACCAGATTGCGTGCAGGTTTGTTTCTGCAGTAAAGTTGACATTATTAAACACTGAACCCATTGGGGATTACCTTCACTTTGCTTTCGCAGCCATCCACATGTGGATACTCAATGAAGTGCAGTTTTTTAAACTCCTTTCTGCATTTAGATCATTTTCAGCTCTGGAGGTTGCAGCTTTCCCTGAACTTGTGGTGCTACCCTATACTTATGTGCACTCAGGCATACTTTCACCTTCAGAGGAATAGAGAATTAGCCGGTGTTGCACCAGTGAATTCATATTACACACTGACATGGTAACTTTGATACTGAGAAATAAAGACAACGGATAACTCCCTGGTCAGTTCTGGAGTTATACAGCCCTTTCCTTCTAATTCGATCTCTACTCGCCCCCTTTCCTCAGCACTTGCTCTCTTCTTCCCTCATTTACTTTACTGAAAGGACAGCAGAAAAAGCAAAAATCTTGGATGACCTTTGATGTACCTGGCCGAGTCTGGCAACCCCCCACAGAGAGTAAAAATAAGACGGTGTCCAGGACAGCTACACTTTCATCCAGGCTGTGCAATCGATATAAGAGTTCTTACTGGAGATCTTATTGATGTTCTGAGACTCACTGTGCTCATCAATAGAAACAATGATCACTAGGAGAGAGGGAGACATAGAGCGGGAGGCAGAGCAACACATCCTTTTCTCGTCATGTTTTCTATTGGAAATTCTGTCCTTGGGTTTGTAAATTAACTAAATTACAACTCAATGCCTGTGCTGCCAACTTAATGCCTGTGACATTAAAATTCTTGACTGACAGTGATACTGCACAAAGGCAAGGAGAGACTTTTCTAATTGGCAGCAACAGTCGGCGGCAAATATAGCTCATTCAATAAGTGATCCTGACACTAAACTAATAGAGAGGTGTAGAGAGATGAACAAAGACCCCTATAACATTAAGCCAGAGAAAGAAACCCGATGGTAGGAAAAGTGAGAGGTCCACTGTTCTTTATATTCTGGCTTCTCCTGACATCACAGGCTGCCTTAGCTAGGGTCAGTTTGAAGTGAAGTCTGTGAAGCTGAGCAGAATTGCTTGTTTTGAGACCATATTTGTATCTTTGTATCTTTTCTCACTGTCACAAAATTTGATAAAGTTGCTTATTCACACATGTACCTCAGCACGTGGTCTCCCAATATAGAGGAGGGGGATAGTGGACGAGGGGGATAGAGCACCAATGCTCATGCAAACAGATGTGCAGATATCTTAAGTTAAAAACTGACTCTCTTCTTCAACCTTGAAATGCTCTTATTATTCCTGCTACAATACTTTCTGCTGCATTCTGACATAAGCTGGCCTTGACTTCTTGTGCAAGTTTTATTGAGGGTGTACTCTCTGACAATTGTGCTACATCGAATTTCCCCTCAGGGATAAATAAAGTTCTTCCTATCTTATCTTATCTTACAGGCTCCTGTGAGGAGCTTTTGACTGCTTAGAAAATAGATTGAAATTAACACTGATGCCTTCAAAAGCAAACAAGACCAAAAATGACTGGATCAAAAAGGCATATTACGTAGTTTTTGATGCCTGTAACTCTTGGAGGCAGGGTAGATGTCAGAGAAAGCGGTCTTATTTATTGACATATCTTTTGGGTAGCACTTTGCTTGACGCCTTTCTCTATAACGCATTATAAATATATGTATAATGCATTACAGTCACATTACAGCACTGTATAACTATAGTTATGAACACCCATAAATATCATAATGGTTTATAGCAACAATCATAACACATTATAAAGCATTTTATCATGACTTACAAGGTCAGGTATTATAATGTGGTATAACTCTAAACAACTCACTGACAATGTCTACATAGATAGCACATTATACATATATTTATGATGTGTTATAATTTGCTAATAAACTTGTATAACTATTATTAAAAACACTTATTGTAAATACTTATTATCAAAAGGCTTTATAAAAATGAGCATAACACATTATAATACCTGACCTTGTGAGTCATGATAAAATGCTTCATAATGTGTCATGAGCATATGATTTATGAGTGTTATGAATATATTATATGTAACACATTATACATATATTTATAATGTGTAATAGAGATAGGCGACAAGTAAAGTGTTACCATATTTGCGTTAAATATTGACAATAGGTGACAAATTCCACTGTTGCAAGGAGGCACCAAAACTGTCACAAACAGAGAGTTCCTCAGTGATGCTTCAGGTGATAACAGCTGCAAAAATCAGACACTTTCAAACATTGTCTTGTATGGAAATGTGTTAAAGCTTAACCCTGAGAATGCTTACATTTTAACTGGGATAAGTATGTGCAAAACTTGAGTCCCTGAAAAATGCCACTGAGGAGACCATAAAATGTATCGTATCATGTCATATCATGTCGTACCTTATTGTGTTGGGTTGTATCATATTACATCAAAATGTACCATTTCATGTCACGTCAAATCATATCATATCAGGTCCTATTGTATTGTATCATGTCGTGTCGTGTTTTGTCATGTCATGTTGTGTCACATTGCATCGTATTGAATCATATCGTTTAACTTTGCGTCGTGTTCTATCGTAAGGTATTATGACATTGTAATATATCATTATGTATCATATAGCATAACACATTGAATCTTACTGCTTAGTATGGTATCGTATTGAAATAATTCTTTTCATCATGAATACTGAGAAATATTTGGATTTTGGTCCATTTCTTTTTAGACATTTAGGCATTTTAATATCATCAATCCAGGTCATCAATCCCAAACTCCCCAAAAATATATAATTTCATGTTGCAATATTTTTTTAAGCAAACAGCAAATACAGCTCACTGTTTAGATAATTGACACAAGTAGTTCTTTTGCCTTAAATATAGTTTTGCAGAAGAGCTCTTGTACTAAAAATCAGCTCTGATTGGTTTTTTGACAGCCTGAAAGCATTACATTAGAAGCGGTTCAGGATAATAGTTGATAATTGGCAGATGGGTAAAAAGCCTCCTTCTCCTGCTATAACTGCTGCATTGCACTGAATAAGTCAACAGCAGTGAACATCTCTAGTGAAGCTGCTATAGAAGGTTATACATGTACAATCAGCTTCGATTAGATACACTAAAGAGCACATGTAACAGCAAGAAAAGAGGCCTTCAAAGGGGATGAAATGGAAAATAAATTAACATTTTTATTGCAGCACCTTATGCAGAGAAATATTTGTAAAGCAGAGTCTGATAAAACATGTAGAGATCTTAAATGTAGAGTGATATTTGTCAGAAACACGTTCAAATTGAGCTAGCTATTAACGTTGCTTAAATCTACTGCTCGGTGTTTACCCCGTCCCAGGACAAAAAAGCACACATACTCAGTCACACACACACACACACACCGTAACACATGCACAGGTCTGCATGTTTGAAAGGGAAGTTTAACCCTTTCAAGTGACTAGAGAGTGCGCTCTCTACTCTCTCGTGTAGAAGGAGATAGAAAGCACACATCAATACTCTGAGTCAAGGTGCTGAGTGCCACATCACAAAACCGACACACACACACCAGATCTGTTTACAGTGTAGCGAGCTGTCACCAGCAGACTGTAAATAATAGGCTGGAGATGAAACCGTTTGCGAACAAAAAAACCACACAGCTCCGAGTGCGTGCGTGTGTGTGCATGTCTGTGTGTTTGTGTACTGTGGGTTTGAATACCCTGTAGAGGCCGAGGCATTTGCCCAGTCCAGTGCTCTTTCTTCCAGTCTGGCAGGCAGACAAGGGGAAGTGAAAGAGATAAGTTGAAAGCAGAAGTTCCTGCAGTCAGCGTACAGGCAGGATATGGCCTGATTGAGATAGACTCTGACTGATTGTGATGTGGACTCAGCTTATTATCAACTCTCTGTCTTTCTGTCTGTCTGTCTGTCTGTCTGTCTCCACCAGAAAATTTAAAATGGAAATCATCAAGTGCAACCAGGAACTGATTTTCATAAAATGACCTGTTGTGTTTAACTGTTGCAAATATATGGATTGTGAAGTCATGTGTTTGAGTTTCGCGATATCACATTTGATATCAAGTAAGTATTACTTAAGCTACAGTGAGTGACAATGCTGGTAACAAAATCTGGTCCTGTGCCTCCAGGTTCTTCAGTTTTATCCTTCAACTCCAATAGAGACTGCATAACCAGAATGTTTGGTCATTGTCATCCTGGCATTGCTTTTTTATGGCATCAGTCCGCTGTTACAAAATAACAGACCTCTAAGTACTGTGATTGACCAATCAGAAGTCTAACACATGCTGATGTAACTGGTAAAGGGTAATGAATAGTGAAAGGATGGTGAAATTAAAGTCTCAGAGCAGAAGGGTCTTTACTGGGGTGACAATGAAATGAAGCTATTGCTGTTATCACTACCACTTATTATTTAAGTTACTTTTTAGTGATGGCAAATTAGAATCTGTTGCCTGGATTGCAGGACAGGGTGTTTCCTTACTTTTCAGGAGGTTAGGCAGAAAAAAATGTGCTGGACTCCTGATTCCATAAGGCAAGTGTGATCAGGTTGTCCATTGTGTCACTTTTGCTGTTGACAATTAATCACAGTCAAAATGAAGGTTTTGACCAATTAGAAGCAAGTAGCAAGGAAGAAAATAACTTTAGAGTAGGAAGGGTGCCGAATCGTTCTCGTATCACTACATTCTATTTCATTACAGTAGACTAAAGGTGCCAACACGACTTTATAAGTAGGCATATCAAATAAAAATACACTGCAGTGCTGAAAGGTGAGCAGACCTATAAGACCGTCTTCTTCCATCCCCTATCTTCATCTTTATTTCTTTCCTCCTTCTCCTCCACCTCTTTCTTTAAAAAAAAAAAAACATATGTGAGTATGAGTGTGTGGGTGGAGGGCCTTGCTTCTATTTTTCACAGGGATGTGGCACCGGGAGTGTAAACCAGGCCAGAGAGTGGGAGCGATAGAGGAAGATGGAAGATGGAGATAGTAACGAGGGACAGAGAAAGCCTAACAAGAAGTTTGGAGCAGAGAAACTTTAGCCAAGCTTTTTAGCATGCTTCCACTGATCCCCAACTACTGTGAAGTGTTCCCTCTGTAGAGTAACTACTTCCTTCAGTACAGAGAGAAACCATTTTAACAAGAGGAGGATCCACTTTATTATCATTCCAAACCAAATCCTAACTCAAAATAGGACATTTTTTTTGACAGCGTTGAGTCAATATTCACACACAAACTGATCCCTTCTGTCATCAAATGCTTGAAATTCGCTTCACAACAAAGGGGGGGGGGGGGGAGTGCTGGGGTTGTTGCTTGGTGACTAGTTTCTGTGACAAAGCAGGACAAGAAGCTGTGCAGGATAAGCTATAGCAACTGGAGACAAAGCCATGCTGACATGCAGTTTGTACAGCTAATTAAAAAGAAAGCATTTCATTATAAATGGACTTACCTCCTTGCGAACCACAGCTGAAAGAGTCTGAATTAATGTGTCTTCTAAAACAGCTTTTTTTTTTTAAACAAAGACCTTAGTCAGCAGCAGCTGAGTTACACAGTTTCCCTTGTGTCCCTTTTTTTCCACATCCCGCATTCAGCTGTCTTATTCAGGTGAGGACCAGAGAGGATGCATGGCTGCCACATCAGCTCACGCTCCCTAATGAACGTCAACTTGGGCCAGTTTTTTTTTTTTTTTGGAGTCAGTGCAAAGTAGTTCACTACATCAAAATGAATAATATCTCTCTTAGCATTTGTTTTAAACATGCATGTCCTACTTCTAAATTAGCAGCAGAGAAGCAGAATTCTCAGTATGAGGTCCAGGATGTTCCAGAAATGGTCCAATCCCATCTGCCTCTCATCATACCTGTTTCCCAGAAAACTTTTAATCAACTGCCCCCGTGTCCCTGATAATATATATTTTTTACTTTTATTATGCACAGTTCAACAACTAACAAGAAATCCTGCTGTTTTACATGGCTCTGTTAGTGTCTTTAATCAAATTGCAAACAGAAATTATACTCATAGTATATAATAGTGTGTATTTTAGGAAAACCAAATTAGAAAAAGAGGTTGTGCCGGCACACTAACTTGATACCACAAAGAACTGATTAGTCCTCTTCAGACGGTAGAAAGACACTATATAGGTTTAGGAATACCAAAAGGCTGATAGCACCATGGTGGCAGGTGTGGTGCAATATGCCCCAAAATAAAAACATAGGGGAGAGTGGGGTAAGATGAGCCATTTTTCATATTTTGGATCACTACATCAATCATAGTTTTGTCTCTAACTAGTGTATCTGCATATAATTCAAGATGTTGTGCATCACTGCAAACCAACAGAATGAGTGTAAACATAACTGTCTTGATAATATAGCAGGCCAAAAAAAGTGGTCTCCTATGGTCAACTTACCCCATAGGAGCAGGGTAAGTTGAGCCGTATCCCCTCCCAATATCTCCTTACCAGAAATCTTCCTAATATTTCATGATACATGTTACTCACCACTGTTTTCAAAGAAACACATTTACCCACAAGTCCCAGAGCCGTGTGCCATGAGTTGTGTAAAGACTCCAAAAAGTCTGACTGGGATGTAAAGTGTCAGCCATTAGAAAAATATTAGGCCAGAAAGGCAAACTTTTTTTTATCCCAAATTGAAAGTGGTCTGGAGCACTATGTGAAGAAGGGTGTGCCAGTCTACATTTCGCTAGTTAATCTCAGTAAACGGTACATAACCAGGGCATTATTGAGAAGCAGAATGCAAAGAGATTGGTTCATAGGTGTGGGTTTGTCATAACACAAATCAAATCAATCAGTGTGTTAGCTCTCATTTCCTGTAGGAGCCACATGCGCCTGCAAGAAGGAGCCTTGTTATTTACACAGCAGATTTCAACCTTTCCTTTCAAAAAGATTGAGCTCAAGCCAGCACATTTAACTTCTCTTCCTCCACCGTGTTCCTACAAATGCAGAAAACTCAAAAAGTTCATTGTGTGAGTTAGTCTAAGAATGGAGTTCTTCCAATTAGACAATCCCAACAATTATCACAAACATTCAGCGACTTTCCAATTTAGAGATGATAAGACAACATAGGATAATATGGATATAAAAAGAGGGTACTGCCTCATGTTCCTTAGGATGTTATTTTTTTCTTCTAAATTCCAAATTTGCTGAAATCAACAAAAATCCTATTTATTTGCCAAAATAAAGCGCCATTACTTCAAAAGCCTAATAACTTGGATTGGTGTGAAATTGCAGTATGTCCATTTGTGGTTCTCGGGTTTTGACACAGGTATGAGTTATACAGACGTTTCCCTGTATATTATAAAGTATGTACATGATATATGTGTGTGGTAAAGACTTGGCAGCGCCTGAGGTCCTGAAGCAAGCCTCTACCAATTCAGCACCATGGACAGCGCAGACAGCTACTTTAGGAAGAGAATGAGAGCATTTCTATACCGTGGTGCTTTATTTCTTTCATGCTTCTTTTCTGTTTTAAAGTAATCTATATCTATAGATCCATATGAATACAGTGTCATGATTTATTGGAAAAGCTCTAAGGATTCTGGTTTCCATTTATAGAAACAGAGGTGCTTTAGCAGAAAGAAATATGGCTCCATTCAAGAAAAGGATGTGGAAATCAAGAGGCAAAGGGGAAATGACGGCAATCTAGGAGAACTGCATAAGCCAGCTTGTGAGGCATCACACAAGGTATGCTGTCAACTCTAACTCACTCTGTAGAAAGATAAAGGCTTCTTCCTGAAATCTGAGCCCGATTTCAGCTTCAGAACCCATTTTGAGTATTTTCTTCTCTAGTTTTCAGCTAACAAATCATAGGAGTAGAACCTCAGATTTCTATAGAGTCAGCCAGCTAGCTCACCTTGTTGGTATTTGGAACATCTAGAGGCTGAAGTGAGCTGAATACTGATCAGAATAGAGGAAGATAAGCCCATGATGATGGATAGTCTTGGATTCATTACTTCACTGTTTTTGTTTGATGTTTTTCGTAGCTTCAGTCAAGAAACACTTCAGTCCCTGGACCCCAAAGACAAAGAAGGGTATGAGAGCCCTGGAGCTGTTTGTATAGATGGTATAATATGCAAAGAAAGAAAGACAGAAAAGAAGAGAGAGAGGGAGAAAAGATTGCAGCAACTTCTGCTGCTCTTTACATTAGCAAATATTAAAAAGACTCCTTACTGAAATCAAGTTATTTTTCAATTAATCAAATATGTATTGAACAGGTTGTCATTATAAGAGACTGATTCCCTCATATTGCATATTGGCTGAAGTCATTAATTCACAAAGCATGGCTTTGGGCTTACTGGAATTAAAAATGATGAACAAGGTGAACGAATGCAAAGTTATATGTGTGTATTTGTGATCATGTATGTTTTTAAGAGGGTAGTGTAAAGTGTGGAGTTAAAAAAAAATCATTTTTATCGGCTCATAAAGAGAGTGATGTGAAGTGAAAAGACAGGGACGACCAGAGAGTTAGAGGTGCCTGAGGAGAGAAAATGCCTCGGGCTAATCTTTGAATCTTTGTCTGTCAAAATAGAAAAAGAGTGGCATGCATGTATGAAAGTCCATTGATTGTTTTTGTGTGTCCATGCACCTGGCAGCATGTGTGTTTGCTAAAGACAACTGTGATTTGGTTCTTTTGTCTAATTCTGACATTTCCTCGATCAAATATCTGCTCAAAGGTTTTTGAGTGAAACTGCAAATGAGTCCAGTGGGTTAGGGCAGAGGGAAGAGCATACAGAGGAAAGGATTCAGAAATACAAGTGAACTTAAAAAAAAAAGAAACAAGGTTTGGGCTGTATCACGATTTAAGATTCTGCAGTGTTGCAGGTGAATTTAAGTGAGGAAAAAAGGCCAACAGTAAAGGGCATCTCTGTATTATTTCATTTTTTTAACCAATTTTAACCAAACATGAGTGCTAGCAATTGTTGCCTGGCTCAGCCGTAATTAACTTGCTGATTCTGAATAGAGAGTGCAACGCTGGATACAACCAGACAAGACACTTCATATCAAACCAATTTGAGGCACAGTGATAAAATTTCACCTCTTCCTGTTAACTGTTTGGCAAAAACATTAATTTTCTGGACTGCGAAACAACACACAAAGGATTATCACTCTGAATTCATTTGTGCGGCTGACCAGTCAGCAGCAGAGAAAGGACTATGGGGTGGCAGGTAGTACACTGAAATCCAAAATAAGTGATTGACTACTTGTTTACAATTTCTACATCAAATTTTACTGCAGACAATATGATATCCAAATAATCTTTAACCATAGCATATCATCTACACAACAGAAGTGCAGAAATAAGTCTTCTGGCCCTTTACTTTAAAAAAGTTTACATGTAACTTGGCGTTTATGTTACTTTATGTTGCTTTACATGATGTTTTTCTATGTTACGTCAGATCACTTACGGAACTGAATGGGATGTAACAACGTAACATCACAAAATGGAACACAGAGATGGCATAACAGAAATAAACTTGAAGTAACTTAACACGGCATAACATAACTTAAGATAATGTGTGAGAGCAAAAGATAACATAACATAAAGCAACATGAAACATATAAGTTAAAATACATACTTCACATTAGTATAAGATATAAATTATCATAAAACATCCATCCATCCATCTTCAGCCATTTATCTGGGTCGGGTTGCGGAAGCAGCCCAAAATGTAACATAGCATTACTTCATACAACAAAGTGTGTTGAGCCTCCCATTGGTCAGGAATTCATCAAGTTGCATTCATAGTTTTTTATCTGGTAAGAGCAGGTCAGATATCATTGAGTGCCTCTAAGCACAGCGCAGATACAATGTCAACTTAGGCTGCCGATATCATACAGAAATCAAAACCGGGACTCCCAGATAAGTATCCTACGTGTTTTAGACCTATCCATCATCTCCTGATCATTACCCCAAAAAGACTTCCCTCCCTTTTTATATTATGTTTTACTTACTTACTTCACTCACTTTTAAGCTGCTATGAGTAACTTGTTGTTCTTGTTGATATTGGCGCCCCCTGTGGACCAAGTGATACCTCTTATGTCTTGTCCTGCACATGTGAAAGTAGCGTTTTTAGACAAAAAACTCATCCTGTTGTCTTCAGGGGTGAAAGATATCACTCACTCTGAGTCTTTGTTGTGGAAAAAGTCATAACAGGCTGTTTTTTTCTGCCTGTTGTCAATCATCTGGTCTGACACTAACCCTCCCAGAGCTGTTTTAAGCAGTAATCAATACAAAAGTGAAATGACCAGTGGCCTTGCTGGTGGTCTTGTTTACTTTTGAAGGCTATAAAGATGCACTGGTACCAGTTTCAGGCTGTTTTTTTTTTGCAATTCAAGAATTCCTCACAGTACCTTTAACAAAACAATAAACTAGAAGGCCAGAAATAATACCTGGGGGGTGTCTAAAGATTGAAACACATTGCTGAGAAGACCATATCTAGTCTAATTTTTGTTTGGTCATGATAAGAGCAAAATAGTCTGAAAAGTTCAAAGAAAAATGTGAGGCAGCATCTTCTGTGAAGGTAGCAGGCTTTTACTCTTGAATTCTATTTTCAACCTTAACCCCAGAGTAGGATAACGTCTTTATTTGTTCTCCAACCAATTAAATGTTAGAGCATTCCTGACGTACAGGAAGGACAAAAGAAACACCATAGTGATGATAGCTCAACGTAGACACAACCTGAGATCCAAAGTTCCTTCACGAATGGTACGCAGTAAAAAAAAGAACTGAAGTCAGACTGCCTGGCCGTTTAATGAAGAACAGACAGAGATGAGAAATGGAACATCTATTTTCACCCCTGTACATTTCAAGCAAAATTCTCCCTCTGCTTAACAGCCATCTTGATGAAGCTATAGAACTGAACCGAGGAGGCAGAAAAGTAGAAAATGTCTTTTTGTCGGTGGGCAGCCATGACAGATTGGTAATGCACAGAAATAGACTCCTGCCTTGGAAAGAGAGAGAGAGAGAGAGAAAGAAAGAAAGAGAGGGAGGACAAGCTGGATAGTAGCTGTATGAGAAAAGAAAGGGGGGGGGGGGGGGCGGTTAGAGGTGATGAAGACAGTGATTTAGAGGGAGGAAAATAGATTTACTGAGTGGCAAGTGGCCATGAGAGAGGCATGCGGGGAAGGAAGCTGGCAAGACAGAGAGATAAGTAAGGGAGGAAAGAGAAAAGTGAAGGATGGGAGGGGAGTGATTTACAAATGGAGAGCAGGTTTTCGACGAAAAAAGACCTGAAGAGCGGAGAAAGAGGGAAAGGAGAAAGAGGAATTCAGATGTCGGAGGAGTGAGAAGGTGAAAAAGCAAAAATAGAGGAAAATGGCAGAAGAGGAGAAAGGAGGACGGGGAGGTGGAGAACAAGTGTGCACTGCTGACATATTGATCCTCATAGTGACCACCCACCCACTCTTCCTAAAGCCCCCAGCATGGATTACTGCAACAGACCTCAAACCACATAGGTCACTGGTCGCACAACACACAAACGCACAAAAACACACAAACACACATTTCCAGACTTATAGACACCCAGTCAAAAAAACCACAACAGCACTTCTAAATACCGCGGTGTTGACAGGAAATATGTTAGATCTACTTGTTTTGGGAGTCCAATCCAAACACACACACATACACACAACACACACACACACACACACCACAGACACCAGCGCATAATACACACACGCAGGTTCCTAGGGGCAGTGTGGGACACCATTCTTTGTGTTCATTGATCCAGAGCAAGAAAAGTCAGACCACTCAAGCTGTGACAGAATCTTGGCACACACTTACACCTACACACACACAAGCACAAACACACACAAGCACACACACACACACACACACACTTTTTGTCACATCTGTGAGTGTAGGGAGTGGAAAGGTGGGGGGGGTTAGAAAGATAAATGGACGGCAGAGAGGCAGAGAGGTGGTGGAAGGGAAGAATGAGGAAGAGATTAGTTGGAGAAGATGGGAGTAGTGGAGGTAGAGAAAAAGAGAGGGGGTGAGGTAAAAGTCAGAGGGGTGAGCCAGAGGAGTGGAGTGGTGGATGTGAGATGAGGACTGGAACGACGGGAAAAGTAAATGAGAGGAGAGGAAGAGGGAGAAGTCTGCTGACATATTTACAGGAGGAGGCGAAATCGTATGTCTCATCTAAACACATGCTTGATTAAAGTGGGACCTTCAGAGAGTGTGTGTGTGTGTGTGTGTGTGTGTGTGTGTGTGTGTGTGTGTGTAGACTAACCAGACAGCCATCCCTGACTAACCAGACAGCCATCCCTGCTCAAGGCCAAACCTATATAGATCATATCCCGATCATCATATCATTGCCTTGAGCCACAGATAGAAGAGCGAGGAATATATGAACGCAACTGTTTAATGGCCTCTTTCCCTCTGTTCCTCGATCACACACAAACACACACATAATCTTTTTTTCCGTCTCTCACAAATCCTCAATTTACTTCCCAAATACTTGCCATCCATTCCCCCAATCTTCCTCCTCCTCCTCCTTCTCTCCTTTTTTGTGCTTCTTTGTGTTTTTATTTCTGATGTTCCTTCTCTTTTTTATCGCCCACTTAGAATCTAGACTTTTTTTTTTTCAAACATTCCCCTCAAAAATGTGAACTAAAATTCAACCCATCCTTAAAGACTTTTGCAAGAACTACAATAACAACAAGCGGTGACAGTGGGTGGTGCCGCAGAGAGAAGCCCAAACTGGTAGAGACATGATCCTCAGAGGGTGGGTGGCAAAATGGGTGAGAAAAACAAGGGAATTGGTCCCACGTTTGATTTTGACAGGAGTGTTAAATGAAATATTCAAAACGACTTCAAAGAGAGCGAGGGGGGATGCAGAGGGCACAGAGCTAGAGTTTCAGTGAAATATATTTTTCCAACATTTGTTTGCAAAATCTAAAACTTCATTGTACTATTTTAATCTGTGCTGTATTTCTCACTTACTTGCACTTGCTTGGGCTCAGTCTCAGTAAAGTATTCCCCCTCATTGTATGTGATGTGCTGGTGAAAATGGTGAAGACAGTTGAGGTCTTGTCCTCAGTAGAAAAGTCTAATGAAAGCTAGGGCTGGGCGATAAACCGAAAATTTACCGATACCGAAATTTACGACAATAACCAATG